AGCATCCAGAGGAGAATTAAAAGCTCCGACGCATTGCTAGATCCAACGATTACTCTTGTTTCAAGTATAACGTCTGCCATAAGCAACAGGCCACTTTTATAGATCAATGGTTGATGAAATAATTGATATCATAAAATGGTTGATACGATAAATAATATATTAATTAATATAATATTCCATTTTTTAATTCTTGTATTAATACAAGTTCTGGTACAATTTTACAATACTTTTATTCATGTAGTGTTGCTACGAGGTTCTCAAGCAATACAACGTTGAATCAAATATTCGACGCTTAATCGATGATGATATCTGTCGGAAATTCGACGACAGGGGAACGGTAGCGAACGCAATTACGCCCGCAAATTGTATCGTTGTCGTCTCGTTCTTCGTTGCCTGTCCGTGAAATGACAATGTACTCGGTGCTAGAAGCGTGCTTGGTACACGTTAAAACGTTTAGATCCGCGTACCGAGATAGCCTAACCTTCGTCATAGCTTACCGAGCGCGACGCCGCCGCCGCGCGGGTCGGTACCCTTCCTTCCTCGTCCTGCGAATCCAATCTGAATCATTTTTATAAGATAGAAATCTTATTACGTCTGGGTTTCTTTTAATCCATGCAAGTTGTTTCATAAAGATTGCTGAAAGTGAGTAGCTGGCATTTTAGTATGCAGTTAATGGAAAAATCTGAATAATTTTTCTTTTATCTAAAAGAGGGTTAATAAGTTTAAATGAACAAGCATATTATATTCAAACATTTTCTTATACCTTTATTTTATATAAAAAATAGTATAATTTTAATATAAATTAGTGATAAATATTCTTAATATGAGAACCAGTAGAATTGATGTCAAAGTCAATTCTTTTTATGAAAATTATAAGTGAATTTCTCGAGAATATTCAAGTTTTGCGAAAGAATTGTACAGAAACTATAGTGACTTGGTATGTGAAATTTTTATCTTTTCGGAGTATTTGTAATTTCATACGTCAGTTATCTGCTACAGAATTTGATATGTTCTATTATAAATGTTCCCTCTGGAGAAATTGCACTCCATAAAATACACATTTTACCTCTTTAAATGTTCATGGGAAAATACCGACTTCTGCCACAGATAAAATGAAATTGTGAAGTCTCAGGTAAAAGCTAATTTCCCAGAGGATACCATTGTAGTAAGAAAGTAAAACAGACATTTTGTTTATTTCATTTATTTCCTATGGAACACCCAGTACTAATATTTAAGAGAAATTTCATTTATAAAAAGTAAAAATGACAATATTTGACTTAGAGATACATAATCATAAATACTATTTGTGAACAATAATCATAAATGGCTTGTTAAGTTAAAAATTGTAATAATTAAAAAAATGATTCGCATGAAAGACCTCGAACGTGTTAAATATGCGAACAGGTTTCGATTAACTGTTGCGTAAGATCGCTATCCATGCGTGTCTTCAGTTGTCTGATTTATTATCTACTTATATCACTTACGTCTGGAAATTCAATCCTTAAAGCCATTTTCCTCGTGTATAACTGAGCGCTGTAATGAAGTAGGTTTTATAAGTTGACAGGTACTCTTAATAACAAGCATAATAATTAAGCTTTGAAGTTCGATAGGATTTCTTTGTAACGAATTTAATGAAGCATAGAAAATCAGTTGTTTGATGACTGTGCTGTTCGGCTCAGTTCAGGCATTCAATTAAAGGTAGTTTAGAATTAAGTGTTCCGGGTGGTTTATTAGACACACGTCCACTTTCACTGCATGATCGGATCGCACAGCTATCTACAAACTATAATAACGTTACGATCCAATGCCAAACTCCTCACGATTATTGCGAGTTCAACCTCGTTTCCCTTACATGGATTAATTACGAGCTTGCACTTTTTTCTCCTCGAGACAGCCGCGGCTAATTAACATCGCGGCACGCGTAATTAATCCCGGACACGCCTAAGCAAATATGTTTCACTTTCGAATCGCGACGACAGTTTCGTAGAATCTATTTAGCGTTCGTTCCACGAAAGCCAGCGCGGTTCGCGCATGCCGAGCGTGTCTACGAACGCGTGTTCCTCGCCGTCGTAAAAGAAATAAAGGAACGAGGACCGGGTGAGGAGTTTACGAGCGGGAAATCGCGCGTTTGGCGAGCGTTCTCGCACGTGCTTGCATTTCGACGAGTGAAAACTCGGCTGAACGTTCCTAGTCTCTGCTCTGGTCTCGTTTTGAATAATTCCACGGTTTACATGGTGAACACGTTTCTTCTGGGTGGACCGTGTCTGTTAAAGTATCCTCGATACAATTACGAAATTGCCATGCAGTATAATTATAATTGGCCACACGTCTGGCGAAATTCCATAAGTAATGCAAATAATCTTTAACTCCTTCCGGTACGATTTAATAATAAATCCAATGACGAGCTAGACTCGTAATTTTACTGGAAAGGGTTAATGAAAATTCTATCTTACAAGAGCTATAAGTCTGATCGGTAACGTCCTGCTTATCGAGATTTCTTGCGGCTTAATTCTGAAATATGACATCATCGATGGCTGGTTCAGAAATTAGGTTTCACGATACGATGTCCAAGAAGGCTAATAAGGTGTTTATTGGCGTTTTTTTGTCTGCGTTCGAAGTATCGCGAGCGCAGCCAGTATTGGACGTTGTAAACCTGGCTCCAAGTGGCACCTTCTCGCAATTACACGTAATAAATCGTCTCAGTACGCGAGCTATTACCCCATTGCTTTACTGCATCTAGCTTAGCGAACGGCCGATTTCGCGTCAATATCATAGAATCTAATTTTTCTCCTAGTTACGAGGGAATAGGATACCTTGCACCCATTTACAAAATACGATTTCGCCGTTCAATTAATCGGGTGTATACATACACGCTTGGTACAGGTTTTTCCTGGCGACTCCTGTTTGAATAAATATCCAGTTTGCAAGGTAAACACAAGCTATTCGTAACCGTGACACTGCTCCGAGTCACGTTTACGATGAATTCGTTGCTGAACGCCCGGTAATTTTAACGCCCCGCGATATTTCATCGTCGCGTCTCGCCACGCTGTTATGCCAGCATCCGCTATTTTACTTTACCAGTCATGGATGTTAGCGACGATTTTTCTTTACCGTCCTTTCGCTGTTTCTGTTCTACGAGAGATACTCGCTTTCAAAGATAACGTAGATCAATCATTTATAGCAATTTTATCGGATAAGAGAGAATTTTATAAACGTGTTCACTCTAGAAAATCATACATATACGTTTTTGTATTAAACATTATATCATGTGATAATGTAATGTCATGATCGTTGATAAAAAACTGATGACTGATATGGCAGAAATTTCGTATTCTTAATTTTCTTTGTACATGAATGATGCATCGAATGTTGAATCAGTCACGAAAAGAAAAACAAAGAAAGCGCAATGACGTGTGAACACGACCGGAGACACTTTCCGAGTGTCTGGCAAGACAATAGACTGCCATAGGAGCCGTGCTCACCCTGCAAACTAGGATATTATTCAAAACGTATTCCGCACCGCGGCTGTCCCTCCCAGGTAGGAATGCCGTTCGACCGCCTCGTTCGACAACATTTTTCACTCGTTGCTAACGCCGTTGTAAAACCATTACAAATGTAAACGAGCACATCGCGCATCGTCTCCCACTGACGCTCAAAGTTAATCGTATCCGCGGCTCGTAAAAAATTGTCCCGCAAAATATTAATAAGTAGACGGCAGAATAAAACGTTTCTAACGTCAGTTCAGAACATGAGGTCTAAATAGCAATTTTTTCGATCATTTAATAATAACGATATCCATTTCACTTTTTATAGTTTCTACATCATTGGAAATTTTTATATTTTATTTAGATACAAGATACAACTTTTTTTTAAATATATTGTTGAACTTCACGTTTGGAATTAAATACAATTCTTAAGTTGAAACTCCAGGACTTTATTAGACATATAACTGTACAATTTTGGTTATCCTTATAATTAGTCGATGTGAGTAATTGGAGTTCCAATGGCCAAAACAGGAGAGGAATAGGAATACTAGGGATAGGATGAATTGATGGGACCAGAGGTTAAGATGAATACGAATGTTTTTACTTATTGTTAGACAGATTTAGGGTGTTCGTGGCTAAGTAAACTATTTCAATAAATTGATATAATAATAAAAATAGTAATAAATCAACTCGTTATTCAACAGTATATAATCTCTTTTAATAAAGAAGCTATTTTGTTCCAACGAGAAGGAGTATTCTAGTAGAATATGTTGGATAGGGTTTTATTCTAAGAAAATCCTGAGTAACTTTTGATCAACCGCAAGTCAATCTTCGTTTAGAATTTTTTAAACGTTAGACGTTGATCCCTTGAGTATGACTAATCCAGTTAATATTCAATATAAATTCATGATGGATCTTTCAACAGAAGATCTGCGGTAAATTGAAAATCCTGTTCTTAATCAGACCGCGTGATTTACCTTGAAATGCAGATATAATTCGTCGCCGATGTCACGGGATTTTCCTGTTCCTATCGGTCGGATCAGGCGCAGAGGAAACAGGAAACGTCGAGGGGCCGCGTGTCGCGTCGCACGTGAGCTGCGCGCGCGATGAAAAGCGGCAGGGAGGAAGAGGCCAGACTGTTCATTCGTTTTTTCAGCGTTCGTTCACACCTGCACGCGGTGATTTTCGGCTTCAGTGTGCTCCTCGCGTCGCGCCGGCTCGTTGCTGAAACCAGCTTCGCCCCGTAACGATCTCCCCGGTCTTTAAAGTTTCAATTTTTCTATAGAGTATAGTTAATCTATATTTTATTAGAAGAGACAAATGTGTGATTGCGATACAAAGGAATTGGTTAAAACTAGGATTGTAAGATAAGGTGAATTTATTTAGTATTTATCAATTCATAGACACGTGACATAGTGATTTAATTATAGTTTGATATTCTTTTAATTGTGACATTTCTTAATCAGTATTTTTGCAATTCGTAATTCGAATAAGCCTGTTTCGTTTCTGTTTCAGAATCGAGATACTCAGGACGAAAAGCAACAAGTGAGTAAAATCGTTTTCATTTTTCTTCTATTCTACAAAATTATGAGAGTTAATAAAACGAGTGGAACACGATTTTCATGCACGCTGCGGTCGGAACGTTAAAAAACGATGGAAAGAACTCGCGAACTCGCATAAAGAAACGAAAGAGCGTATCTCTCGGAGAGATTGCGCTCCGTTTGTTCATCCCATATTTCGTTTCGAAGAACGTCAGGCTTAATGCCACGTTCCGTTGACAGTAATGTCGGTTTTATTGTTTCGACCCGGGCGCCAGTCGGCCGGCAAGAATGATTTCAACTCGGCGCGGCATTATGCGGACGACCGTTTATCGCGTGATTAATAAGAAAAGTGGAAAGCCGCGGCGCAAAAATCATCGGTAACTCAGATTGCGCGCATCCCCTCGGATCGCCCCATCAAACAAACTGACTTGGCCGCGTTGCAAAGAAGTGGTGAAACGTCCATAATAAATTTACTTTGCCGATGATGGACTGTTCCCATCCGAATGGGATGCAATTTCCTCGCGTAAACGCGGAAAACTGTTTCGCGGTTTCCCCTGGAAAATAATTAATACGTTTCCACGATCCACTCCATTAAGCCCCGTATCCACTTGTCTCGTACCTTCGTACCGCGTCACCGTTGCGTATCATTACAATCTGGCAAACGTTACGTGTGTATCATATATAATAAAAACTCATAGAAATAATTAAATAATGTATCATACATTTACATAATGAATTATTCCAATTACGTGTAATAGTTTTAAGTCATTGAAAAATGACAAAATGGAACTTACGTGTCTCTTGAAGAAATTAGTCATATAAAAGTTATTTTATATTAAATGCTGATTTTAATCTTAAATCCACTCATGTTTAAATAGAAAATACATTAAAAGTTAATTTTCTTTACATCATATGATCATTCTTATTGACCTACTCTGCACGTTTTACGATATTTCAAGACTTATGAACGGCGGTGTACATGACACGCGTGCAACGACGGCACGCAACAGCGACACGATAGAGGGACGCGATACAAGTGGATATGCACCTTTAAGGACAGACTCGCGGAGAGCGAATCACGCGTAGCGGCCGAAACCGCTCGTTCTCCGCGGCAAGATCGATCGACCGTACCGTTTTTACTTGTACGTCGCCTGTTTTGTAACGAGCGCTGCCCCTGTAATGGCTCGTTGCATTAACGTCGTTCGTCCCGGTTAGCATTCGTTGCTTGTGAGGAGCTTTCAGGGTCGTTGCTAAATTGCAGGGTGAGTTCGCGAGAGAAGGGTTAAATTGAAAGCATAGATCACTCTACTGTGCGGTTTGCTACATTGCGTTGAAACGCAAACGTTGACGCGAGTGAATTATAGAATACCCGATGGTTCGAGTGAATTATAGAACGTGTGCCAATTACACAGTGCGTGTATTACTGTAATGACACAGTTTTACCGTCTTTCGTGCTTTTACCGATTCTATTATTCTCAGTATCCAGAGATTAACATTTAGTCTCCGGATTTGCCCACGAAATCTCGAACCGTTGTTCTGATTATCGTAATTATATACAATTTATTTCACAATTTTAAAGTTCTTTACATATTTTATATATTATAGATAAATTCTCTTCTCAAATGCATTCATTTATATGGTATAATCAATATTTTCATTATAGAAGTGCATTTTAAATTTGAGGTCATTTTATATTTTGTTTGGAAATTGTACGGGGTTCCTTTTTCTCGGCCTTGTGACCTGAAGAAAAACGCGTGCCTCGCGAATGATTCACGCCGGTTTTGAAACCGGGGATTTCAGAGAAGTGACCTCACCCCGTTCGGCCGTGTCACGCGCGCGAGAGGTCGTTGATATTCTCTATAGACAGAGCTTCGTTGTTTCGCTTCGAGTATAGGCGCAGCTTGCATAAAACTTCATGGGAAACAGCGTACGGTGATTTTTTTCTTCTTTTTAACAATTTCCTTTTTTGTAGATTACTTTTCACTCTTGATTAATGAAAATAATTATGGTTCATAGATAGCAAATATTCATATAATCATCGTAGCTGGCAAATTTTATTTATTTATTTATATATATTCTCAAATGCATTCACTTATATGTTATAATCAATATTTTCATCATAGAAGTGCATTTTAAATTTGAGGTCATTTTATATTTTGTTTGGAAATTGTACGGGGTTCCTTTTTCTCGGCCTTGTGACCTGAAGAAAAACGCGTGCCTCGCGAATGATTCACGCCGGTTTTGAAACCGGGGATTTCAGAGAAGTGACCTCACCCCGTTCGGCCGTGTCACGCGCGCGAGAGGTCGTTGATATTCTCTATAGACAGAGCTTCGTTGTTCCGCTTCGAGTATAGGCGCAGCTTGCATAAAACTTCATGGGAAACAGCGTACGGTGATTTTTTTCTTCTTTTTAACAATTTCCTTTTTTGTAGATTACTTTTCACTCTTGATTAATGAAAATAATTATGGTTCATAGATAGCAAATATTCATATAATCATCGTAGCTGGCAAATTTTATTTATTTATTTATATATATAAGGATTAGTGCCCTTTTTTTGCACTTTATGATAGAAATCAATTAGGGGAGTGAAGAACAATAGTGATTAAGATTCTTTTTCTTGTTTTATTAAATTCTTCCGAATTTTTCACGCGTCGCCCCGCGTGATTGCTCGATCTCTTATCATCCTTTTTTTCTACTGTACACATGTACGTGTACACTTCTTTCCAATTTCACGGAGGAATTCCTGCGGTCTGATGGCAAACCACAGAGAAAAAGTCCGAACGAGTTATACCCGAGCTTGTACGTCGCGTTTTTAACACTTTTCCACCGGTTGCGGAGAAGCGAGGGTAAAGAAGTGAAAAAATCGCGCCGCAGAGGCACGAGCGGATCCGTCGGCCGTGTTCCAGCGAGCGCTCGGCTTTTTTCTCGTCGAAATTTCGTAACCTGCGCGCAACGCGGCCTGCGGCGAGAAGAAGGTGTTAATTTCGCGAAACGCAGGAAGTTCATCCGCGTTCGTTCAGAATTCAAGGGTTTATGGCAGTGTACAGTTACTTCATCGAATTCATTTTTTCACACTGTAATCTGACAGGAATTAAACCCTTCGACTCCCAGTGTTACACAGTTGCGACTTTATTTTAAAGGTGCATAAAACGAATTTTGAACGTGACACGACAACACGCGACAAAAATAACTTCTTCAGCTACATTGTAGTTATAAAGATCCGATTTCGCACAAAGATCCACGTTTTAACGACCGTTCTAAGAATGTTGCGTGACTGAAAGTATTTTCTGCAAAAAAGAAATGAGTTGGTTTGTAATACCCAGATGGATTGCATAGAATTATTCAGCTCACGCGAGATGGTCCTAGATGGAAACGTTAATTGGTGCTTTCGTCGCGAGTCGTGGGAGCGAGGGCGTGAATTCAGGTTGATTCCATTAGCGGAATGCGCGAGTGGGTGAACCGCTATCCGTGTTCCATTTATGACCATCCCCTGTCATTACGACGTCAACGTGGTGTCGTTCGAATTCGATCCTTCCGGCGATCGTCTAAAAATGATTTCTCGAATTATCTGTCCATGTTCTGTGAAATTAAACAATTCTATATGCAAATGTTGGAAAATGTTATTTTCACTTTGAAAGAACGACGCGTTCAAAGAAATCGTAATTTTATCTCTCCTTCTCTTGTATCAATTTGTCACGCGAGGAAGAAAAGTTGGGAAAACGAGGAACGGGTGACGAGGGTTTAACGTGTCTTGTTATGGCGTCGCGTCGTGTCGTGTTGCTCCTGCGTTTAGATATCTTGTCGCGTTCGACTACCGACTGGGTATCATATTTGTACTGTTGGCGAGGACTGCTGGGTTCTTGTATCCGCACGATGCTTACACGCTGCGCACTGGTACTGTTCGCCATTTTTTCTTCGTGTCAGTGTTCTTGTACGCCGGTTGTTAAAGCGACAGAGCGTCGTTCCTGTAACCGGACAGCAAAATGCGATACGCGGTACCTTTTTCAAAATTCAACCAGTGATTTAATACCGATCTTCCTTATAACGAGAGAAATTACATTTAACCCTTCGCCTGCAGCCTCATTTGTACTAACGCAGTCTGAATACAAACTGGTTTAAGTTTATTCATATATTTACTATATGCAGATAGAATTAACTGCATTCAAAATTAAATTTACAAATATAATAACAAATTTTAATTACGTAATTATGTTTGAATGAAAATGAATAATAACTCGATTAAAAGATAATGAACAGAGCCGGCTGGCCGTTGATTTATTCTAACCCTCGTGGTTCCTCGGCGAGTACGCCGACCTCGATCAATTCTTCTCTGTGCTCGTTTTGGCTCGGTCAGCCTAGGGGTGTGTTCTCCGGTGAAATTTCGCTGGCATAAACGTGCCTGACAGATCCCCTTCCCGCGCGAAGGCCACGCACCGTGTACCTTTCATCCTTCGACGACGCGAGACAAGCCGGCTTTCTCCACCCGGTCAATAATTATCACGATTACCGAGCATTTAAACTCGGTAACAGCCATGTACATGAACGATAATGTAACCGTAACGGTGCACGCGACACGTCAATTTCCGTGTACGTTTTCATTTTTCAAACCTGATCATCCCCATTTTTATTCCCATACATACTTGGCAAATTAAAACTACAGTTTTGAAGTTACACTTCGCATATTCTATTTTTGGAATTATAACATTTACGCTACGAATTTTTATTTTTATTTTCTTATCACTTAACATTGAAATATGCGTACAGTTTTTAATATCCTGAATAGTTTTATACAATACGCGCAGTATTTATAATTTGTGAGAATTCCATTTTCTTCTAAACGCATAAACGCAGTTAAATAACGATTTTCTATTATTAAATGTCTTTTGAAATACTTACGGCGATGTAATGATGCGAGAACAAAAAATAATTGACTTCTGTAGGCCGTGGGGTCGGAAAAACGATTACAGGCCATCCCGAATGTGTGAACGAACGGGGGGAGAGAG